CCCCAAAAAAAAAAAAAAAAAAAAAAAAAGGAGAGTGAAGAAGAAGGAGGAACAAGACTAATCTATGCATACTAAACAACAACCTTAAAATTGAGATTTATAATCTCGTTGATCATCAATTGCTCCAAATAAATTTCAATTTTGCTCCAATATAATTCTTTTTTTCATGCCAATTTCATCCAAATGCATTCAAGTCAGAATTTACACACAATTAATATATTTACACCTCAATTAGATGGATATCAACTCAATTAGTTCTAAATAATTAAGAATAGAGACCAAGAAAACGGTATAAAATACACATATCACACCGGAAATTTAAATCTTGCTCTACCCACATATATTTCTTAAGTAACGTTAACAAATTACATGTTTTGAAAATTTGTGGTTATTAAAATGATTAGCATTTAGTTACTTATCTTTTTCATATTTATTAAATACTAGTCAATGTTGAATGTACTTTACATGTTACTACAAAATATTTTATAAGTGCTATAAAAGTAATATTTGAATATGCGTAAATGTTAATTAAATTAAAATTAATACCAGGGAATACATACGCGAAAATAAATGCTAAATCAATTATTTAATTTTCAATTAAGTAAAATTGGATGCTAATTAGCATACATGAACGTGAATAATGAATTGCATTCTTGAATGTGAAATTCTAGTTTACTATAGTTAGAATTAATAATACTGAAATGCATAAATGAAGATGAATATTAATTAAAATGAAGGTGAATATTAGTTAATTGAGAATAATAATAAGAAATTCATACATTAATGAAAGCACATAAATGAAATGAATCTGTAAAATGTACATGTACTTGTACATGTACATTGATAGTAACAAGATGGTTAAATAAATTAAATACATGTTGAAAAATGAAAAGTAAAGTATTATTGAAATAATTGAATTATAGTAGGCTAGAATTGTCAAAAAAATAATTCTCACTTGATGTGATATTTAGTATATTATACATTTTTACAAACCACTATTTTAAAAATAAAAAAGGTGGTTAAAACTGAAGAGTCGCAAATGAAAATAAAATCCAAACAATTGAAGAAAAGTTTAGTTTTAAGTATTACAGGAAGAACAAAACAAAAAAAAAAATGTTCTTATGATAAAAAAAATAATAATAATATGAAATTGGAGGTATCAATAATCAATTATTGTCACCAATGAACTTTATTTATTTATTTAATAATGAATATATAGAGCTTGTTTTAGCCCTATTTTTAGCCACACAAAAAAAAAAAAAAAAAATTTGGAATAGTGATTTGATAGAGAATGTGTAGTTAAAAAAAAAAAGAATTTGCTTGTAATATGATTTTATTGAAAAATATGTGATTGAAAATAAGAAAGAAAAATATATTTTGAAAATAATGAAAACAAACAAGAGCATAAATGTTTCGTATTACTTTTACCACATTAAATCATAATCTAAATTTTATAAAATAAAACTTTACGAAACTAATTGCAGCATATTCCTTCACAAGAATTTTGCAATGCAAAAAATTTAAAAAAAAATTGAGTATATATATATATATACAATGGCGATCTCCTAAACACCGATGCTTAGATTATCCTAAGCACCATGGCAAATTAATTACTTTCTATTTTAATCATTAGCATGGGACCCACCATTTGCATTTCCCAAACAAATAAATACACACGATAACTAAGAAAGAATTTGTAAGCTATATGTATTAATTGTATGGGGCCCACCACTATCTCACAAATATATAATAGTATATAAAAACTTAATTAATGTCATTTGTTAAATTATACATGTGCAAAGATTATGTTAATTTTAATTGTTTGATTATTTATTCATTGGGCTAAATATTTTCACTTAATTATTTTATTTATTAAATATTACGAGAAATTAATTTCAATAACATAGTTTTCAAACCACATTGTAGTTTAGAAATCACTTTGCAAATGTTATTACATCAAGAACCTAATTTCAATTTACACCATCCGAAATTATGTTATTGTAACAAAATGCTTTAATTATGTTATTTAATAGAAAAATTTGCAATGTGATTCCTAAATTATGACAGTACAACTAGAATGCATTGGCAAAGTGATTCCGAAATTCAGTAGAAATATATTTGTAAAAGTTCAACAATAAAACAAATTACATAGAGCATGTAACTGACATTTGGCACGCAAAAATTCTTCCCAGCAATAAAGTTCAATTGCAAAAAATTGAAACAACAAAATACAATAATTTCATCGAAGAAGTCTAGAATATACTGTCATTCCTCCCATAATTGCCAATACTACAACATCTGGAAATTAGTTTCCTTCCAAAATGTTTGACCTCGCACATTGTGAATCAAAATGAATTATCTGCAGAACGAGAAAGCAATAAGAAAGATATAAAACTGAAAAACTAGAACATAGTATTAACCATGAAAATAGTAGAAAATACCTTTCAAGTAATGTCGGACAATTTCGCTTATCATGCGATTGACCACGTAGTCCACATCCATGACAAACCCTCTCTTTGTTCACTTTTTTCTCTTTTGATTTTTTTAATCTTTTTCCACACCCCTTGGCTCTCACCTGTAGCGGTTCATTGATGAGTATCTGCTTCTCGATGATTTTTTGTCCCATGAATACCCGCTCCACACCATTATCAATATTAATCTCCTTTATTTTATTATGAACATCCTTGAACCCATTCCTCAAGAGATTAGTTCCCTCCTCAATAAGAGATGCATTGTCAATAACAACCGACAATAATTGAGACAAATTTGAATGCCGTGACATCAATGATTGGTTAGGAATGTCATTCAATTCTTCATGATCCTTCTCCCATACTTGGCCAACTTTCGTATGTTTGGTCCACCTTTGAAGAATATATTGAGTTGGCAATTTTAAAATTTGTTTGATCCTGAAATATGCCAGCAGATGCCTACATGGAATTCCTTCACATTCAAATCGTTGACAACTACAACATACAATATCTAAAAACTTGCTCTAATTAAGTTTTCGACATCTTGATGAAGAAGATTCTTCGACCCTTGTAGCTATATAAATCACACTGGCTTCATCTTCAAATAAATTATGTATGACGTAGGCTTGACTCTCAAATATCTCCTCTTGAAAACTTTGAAAAACCTTTCTTGTATAAATCTTTGACATTTGAACTTCCATTGGCCATAAGGATTTCATCCCTGGTTGTTCATTAATATCACATGGTTAGCCATCAACTCATGATGCCTTTAGTGACCAAGGACTCTATTAAAGCGCATAATAAAATCCATCAATGAGTTTTTCTTTGAAATGTACCTTTTGAGAAATGAATGAGAACTTTCTGCTCTTCGACTACTCGACATTCCCGCTGCAGAGATATGTTTAACAAATGCAGGGACCCATCTACTACGCATCTCATATGTTTGCTGAAGCCAATCATTATCTCCCAATTTAGTTGATTGCAACATATTCATCCAACTAGTTTCAAACTCTTCACTATCCTCTGAGTTCATAATAATGTTTTTCATCAAATGGTAGTTGTCTCGATAAATTACTGTGTTAAGCTTTTCAGAAAATTTGTTCAGGATATGCCATATGCAATAACGATGAAATGTATTCGGAATAACTTGTGCAATTGCTCTTGTCAATGCAGAATCTTGGTCTGTGATGATCATTTGTAGTGCTCCCCTAGGCATGGCATTCATCCATTGACCAAGTAACCAAACGCACGAATCAATTGTCTCATCACTTAAAAATCCACAACCAAATATTATTGTCTGACCGTGATGATTAACTCTAGTGAATGGAGCAAAAATCATCCCATATCTATTTGTGTTGTACGTAGTATTGAAAACAACTACATCACCAAAAAAGTTATATACCCTCCTTGAGAAAGAATCAGCCCAAAAACACCTAACAAATTTGTCATCACTGTCTTTATCAAAATCAAAGTAAAAAAACTGAATCTTTTTCCTTCTCTAAAGTAAATGTCTCTATCAATGACTCTGTATCAATTCCCTTCATTTCATCTTTCAGATCTCTTTCGTAATTTTGGATGTCTCTCTCTGTACATCCAAAATTTTAAGGACCTCCATATTCTATTTCCATCAAACTTATTTGTTGACTAGTTGACACGTTTGCTTCAGATAATTGTTATACCAAAGCCTTCTTCACATTTGAAATGTGCCGATGCGACCTCAATAAATGTACTCTAGATGGAGTCGTGGATGCATGATTATGTGTCTCCAAGAAACTACTAACAATCCCAGAAGGAGATGATTTATTCCTAACCACAATTAATTTAGCCTTGCAACCCACATGACCAATTCCCCTATTTCTTTCACCACTCCGTTGAATAGCATGCTTCAACTTTTTTTGATAATTTTTATCTGTTTGTCCTTCTTTGTAACATACAATTTTTTTTAGGATGTGCTCATTTGTACCTGGTCTCTTCTTACTAGTTGACATTCAAGCACTAAATCCAGCTTCTTTTGCGTAGTTGTTATAAAATTCATATGTAGCTTCAATTGATTCAAATTCTTGACCAACTTTAGGCTTGTGTTCCTCCGCAACATGGAGTGTGAATGTTTGAGTTGTAATTTCTTCTTCCATGATAATTGAATACTGTTACCATATATAAGGAATGAATATATTGAATTTTGGAATTTAATTTTTTTCCTTGACCTTTTTTTTTTTTTTTTGAAGTTCTATTGTTGTTTTATATTGTTCTTAGTCACCTTGATCAAGAGTTTTATGATGCTTAAAATATATGGTAATAGTATTCAATTATCATGGAAGAAGATATATGTATATATATATATCCATTCCTTATATATATATTCATTCCTTATATATCTTAGCTTATTAACGTGAATCAATCTTGACAAAGAAGAGAGAGAGAAATCACAGATGGTCCGTTTGAAGAAATTGAAATTGGTTACTGACTCTTGGACTCCATTGATCCTAAACCTTTTCTTTTTTATACTATTATATATTTGTGAGATAGTGGTGGGCCCCATACAATTAATACACGTACCTTACAAATTCTTTCTTAGTTACCGTGTGAATTTATCTATTTGGGAAATGCAAATGGCGGGTCCCATGCTAATGATCAAAATTGAAAGTAATTAATATATATATATATATATATATATTCAAAACTTGATAAATTATGTAATAAGCTTAGTTTATGCTTGGTGTGTCTCAAAAATTAAATTAAAATTGTTAAATTGATATATCATGTTATCGTTGCTTAGCATGCTAATCAAAGGTGCAAAATAAAATTATTGTTAGGAAATGGAGAGAGAAGGGGCCTGGAAGAGATCAAAAGGGGTTATTACTTACTACATGTGTGATAGGTAGGGGGAGCCGAAGATGTGTTACTACTTTTAGTATAGGATACGATAAAGATTTTCATACCAATGAGACGTCCATAGTCCACACACACTATGTGGACGTTTAGCAAAGGCAAAACTAAAGAAACTAGACTTTGTGAACTAGCCAATCTTCCCATGTTCATTCTTATACCTAACAAAACTTAATTTTTAATTTTTTCCGTCCAAGTCAGTACGAGAATGTCCTTAGCAAATTTGTCCACAATCCAAACTAACAATTTCTTGTATTAAAAATTACTTATTTGATATGGTAGACTAGACGATATAAGAATAACATTGATAAAATTGATTGGTATTATTCTTTCAACAGTATAAATTTTCAATTTTATATATAAGTGGGTTCAAGGCCAAACAATTTTCCAAGTCTTCAACAATTTGGCAATAATCCAAAACGAACAAATATTTTTTGTTAAATAACATTCATGAGTACAATATGGGCCATGCACCGTCATACTCCTTCTATTTCCCGGTCAACCATTCAAAACACAATACTCACATCTCTAATAGGTAAAAAAATGTATAAGGGTCTTCACATTAAGTCTATGCCATTAAGCCCCTTTCCGAGATCCATTATAATGAGATTTTTGGAAAAAAAATATTTTATTAATTTTTTGGAGAATGTGTGGTTAACAAAAAAAAAGTAAGAAAAAATTGTGGGTCCGCGTGTAATATTATTTTGTAGAAGAATGTATGGTTGAAAATGAGATTTGAAAAATGCATTTTTGATTAAATGGAGCTCAAACAAGGGCTAAATTTAATAAATTTTGACCGTTAACATCAATTTTAAATTTGACAATAACCTTGTTGGTCAATGGGTGAACAACATACTATTCAACGTCAATTTCTGCCATTTATCCTTGATTTGATTATCTCAAATTTGAAAAATAATGTCTTCGAACTATTCAAATTCCCAAAAGGCGAACTGGCTAAGCATCTCATATTTCAAGTTACTTTCATCTGCAAAAGAACCAATTAACATAAAGGTTGTTTAATGAATATTCTGTCCTTTGATGGAAAAAATGTTTTCTTTCTGTTAGACATTATGTTGTCAAACGACCTCCCGGGCGATGATGAGAACCAATTTTATCAGTCGACATAAATGACTGAACGATAATTCAACATCGAATAATGGATGAACCGACCAAACGTTGCCTTACCTATTGGACGGCTAATATTCTTTGTGGCTTGTTGATTCTTTTCATTGGAAGTTAACCCTAATCGAGCCTACTTACCATATCCTTACTTACCTTATGTTGGCCACTTGACTTACTATATATATTGGTGTTTTCATCCTTGTTGACTCGTCCAAAGTTGAACCCGTGAGTTGATAGAAACTGCCGTGTCCAAGCCGTGCCTTCTGCCTTCATCTTCTTCGTGATTTCTTCTCCACCCAAATTGCTTGAGTCTTTGTGAACCTTACCTGAGTGGTATCCATCCTAAGTGTGTGGATTGAATCAACCAAGCAAGAGAAGAAAGCAACCATAGGAGAGGGTAGCGCCGGCGGTATGGGTTCTTCCAATTTTGATGATTGAATTCGGTTTTAATGGTTAACTGAGCTCGGGAATCAGCGTGAGCAGCAAGAGGAAGGTCCTAACATCTGGTATCAGAGCTTGGGTGGCAAAAAAGGGCTCAAAATCGGCTGATTTTCGCACTTTCAACTTAGAACTCGAATCTGAAAATTTGCAATTACTCACAAGCCAGAGCTCGGTTGGACAAACGGAGGCCATACCCATCATCAGCAGGCCGAGGCGCTCCGGGACAGGCGGCGCGTGGGCGATTTTTCGGCGACGCAGTCTTCAGGTAACTTGTTTGTTTCGATCTCCTGAACGCGCTGATATACTTTGTTTTGTGTTTCAGGTTACACAGAAAAAGTTGGACGATTTTGCCCTTTGGTACGACGCCGATTGAAATTCAACAGCAAGCTCGTTTTTCTCCACTTTACGGACTCAGATAGGTCCGCTCTGGTAAATTGGCTTAATCCATTTAAATTCAACAATAGCAAGATCATCGTGTGGGGTGATCGTTAGGTTTTGGGGTTACCGTGAAGGGGTAACCATTGCGTGTGCTAGAATTAGGATTACTTGCGTTAATTAAGTATTTGTTCTTTTAATTTAAGTACTTGTTATTCCTTGGTGGACGTAGCATTTAGGTTCATTATTACCTTTGCTAATAATTAACAAGATATTACCTTATCACGTTTCCCAATACTACTTCGTGTGGTTTAATTAGGGTGTTAACCAATGACAACACATAATTTTGATTTGGAAATTTTTAACGGTAAAGGGGACTTCTCTGGCAACAAAAGATGAGAGGCATATTAGTCCAACAAAAGGTGTCAAAAGCCATCGAAGGCAATTTTGCACCTGATATCTCAAAAGAACAAAAAGAGGAAGCCGATGAGCTTGCCTATACCTCAATAATATTACACTTGTCTGACGCCGTCTTAAGAAAAGTGGGAAAACTAAAAACCACCAAAGAACTTTGGAAAAGACTAGAAGACTTATACTTGCTTAAATCAACACCAAATAAACTCTACCTACTCGAACGATTCTTCAGCTTTAAAATGGATCCTTCAAAGGATCTCGACGACAATCTAGATGTATTTAATAAATTGGTGCAAGATATTGTCAATTGTGACGAAGCCGTGTCTGAAACCTATAAGGCCATTATCTTGCTCAATTCAATCC